AAAAAGAGATATTAGAATTGGAAAAAGTACAGAGAAGGGCAAAAAAAAAAAAAGATTAAGTGTATGGAACAGCTTCCATATGAGAAGAGAATAAAAAGACTTTGACTGTTCAATTTAGAAAAGAAACGACTAAGGGGATATATGATAGAGATATATAAAATCATGAATGTTGTGGAGAAAGTGAATAAGGAAGTGTTAGTTACCCCTTCACATAAAACAAGAACGAGAGGTCACCCAATTAAATTAATAATCAGCAGGATTGTAATAATAATACAATCATAAGGAATTACTTCTTCACACAACATACAGTCAACCTGTGGAACTCATTGCCAGGAGATGTTGCGATAATAATGTTGTAATAATAATACAATCATAAGGAATTACTTCTTCACACAACATACAGTCAACCTGTGGAACTCATTGCCAGGAGATGTTGCGAAGACCAAAATATAACTGGGATCTAGAAAGAATTAGATAAATTCATGGAGGATAGGTCCATCAATGGCTACTTGCCAAGACAGTCAGGGATGCAGCCTCATGCTCTGAGTGTCCCTAAACCTCTGACTGCCAGAAGCTGGGACTGGAGGACAGGTGATGGGTCAGTCGATAAACTGCCCTGTTCTATTCATTCCCTCTGAAGCACCTGGCACCGGCCACTGTCAGAAGACAGGTTACTGGGCTAGATGGACCATTGATCTGACCCAGTATGGCCATTCTTAAGTTCTTGTCAAGACCAGTATACAACTGCAGAGAAGCTAAGTAGTCCATACCCAAACCTATATTAGATGCTGTGCATGATTCAGATAAAGTGCAAAACTGGGTCCATAGCAGAGATTTAACAAAGTGAGGGATGAATTGTTAAGTTATAGATAGCACAATACAAGAGCTGTTGTAGACAGAGCCGGCTCCAGGGTTTTGGCTGTCCCAAGCAGCCAAAAAAAAAAAAGACCCCGATCGTGATCTGCGGCGGCAATTCAGCGGGAGGTCCTTCGCTCCGAACTGGAGTGAGGGACCGTCCACCGAATTGCTGCCGAATAGCTGGACGTGCTGCCCCTCTCCAGAGTGACCGCCCCAAGCACCTGCTTGACAAGCTGGTGCCTAGAGCCGGCCCTGGTTGTAGAAATAGGAGAAGGGGACTACTACTACTACTAGTCTCAATTATTTTGAAGAAATCATCGCTGAGTTGAAATAGATCATGAGAAGTGTCAGGAAAACTGGGAATCAAAATGTTATCTATTGTGTAGAAGAGAAGCAGTTGAGATAGATTCCTAATTATTGATAACGTTAGTATAGTAACAAGATCACTTATTTACAGCATTCTACACAGGAGTGACCACACATACTATGGTATTTCTGCCTACCTCTAGCTATATAAGTCCCTTTGCATTAGCTAATTGTGAGAAATTTTAATTTTCTTTGTTTCATTATCTGTTTCATTTTGTTGTTAATAGACCACCAAAAAAATTAAAAAAAAATTCCCACTGCTATTTCCAAATATCAGTTTATATTTTAAAATATGTCATTGGCAGTGCAATAGTTAAGATTACAGACTACTAAAATTACTCTTAATTGACCAGTAACTGATTATTAATGTGAAAAAAAACAAACAAAATTTGAAACTCAGACCTGAATAGGCTGTTCAGAAATACTTCCACTTCCTGATGAAATTCCACTGAATGCATCAATTAGGCCATTGGAATCAACTGTATCTGTGGCATAAAACTTTAAGCCTCCTGAAATGTGATTGTTAAAATAATCAGAATAGTAATTAGTGTAAAACAGTAGGTTTTTGTTATGTGCCTTATGCTAGTTTGGTTGTTGCTATAGAGCACAGTGTTAATTTGATAAATTAAATGTTGGTCCCTTATTATCCTTTATTCATGGGGCAGTGCAGGGAGGAACCGCTGGGTGGTGGGGAATCAATTAATACAAACACCCAGTGAGTTCCAGCAGAAAGCAAGTCTGACCTGGGAAATGATCCCATCTGTTCACATTTTAACTCCACCTAACTTGGTCTGACTAAGAATTGTTGCCTGTAGCACTTCATCAAGTACAGTGCTCACTCATTGGCTGTTCTTGGTAAGTCTGGACTCTGAGCAATGGACCTGTAAAGTGCCATTTCACTCTGAAAAACACCTCTGTCAAAATTACATGGTGGAATTCCAAGATTATTGTTTCTCGGTGACTCAGATCAAATCTGCTTAGTTTACAAATACAATGTTTGTGCCTCTTTTTATTTGTGCTGAGCACCCATAATGCCAATGGGAACTTCTGGTGCGCAGTGTCTTTGGAAATCTGGCCATTTATTTCAAACAGTGAGCCCTGCCCACTGAGACTGGGCTCTGAAAGACCAGCTGGGTTCTTTCTGGCTCACACATCAATCACTTAACACTAAAGATTCTGTGATCAGAACTTAGTGAACTATTCTGTTATAATCAGAAATGAAAGTAAGCCTGTCTGGTCTGGTCCAGCTTCTCTGGCAGTGATTTAAAGGGCCCAGGGCTCCAGCTGCTAAATATTGAAAGGCCCTGCCTCTCCTGGTTGAGTCCACGCCCCCGCTCAGGAGTCCGGTGTACTGGTAAGTCCTTTAAGTTATTTGACCCCCTGGTTATAATACACAAACCTGAACAGAATTCAGGTTGTTCTCTCACAGCCATGTTGGCTGTACAATGCTAACAGAGTAAAAAAGCAGTACAATCTTATTTAAGTCCCTAAAGCAAGCAGATATGACTCTGAATACACAAAAAGGAGCATCTCTGTTGACTAAGAAGGTGCCATTTATACATAGTCACTATTCAGAGTAAAGCTACAGTGTAAATCAACACATGGAATTCCCATGGTAGTTGCCCTGTACTGCAGCATCTCCCAGCACCCATCTGGCTTTCCTTCAAATGGCTGAAGTTCAAAGGAACAGTGCAGCTCCAACTCAAAGCAGAGCTGACTGAGCCTCCCAGTTGCAAGTACAGAGACTGTGGTTGCTGACTCCTCAGCTAGAGCCCTCCAGCTGTGACTGTTTGTGAGTTGGTCATTATTTAACTACTTAGGACATTAATAGGTTTGCATATCACTGCTATGTAAACATCAGAAATAAAATGTTAATCATTTAAACACTGAGCTTAGCTTTTTGTTTAAAGGAAAATCCTCCAGTAATATAATTATCAAGCCTCGCTATTAAGCAGGGTGTAATCAGGATATAGTTTTTTTAAAGCAACAACAGATAAAAGATAAATAATTGCTCCCAATATTATTGTGTTTATTCAGCTGAAAATAAACATTCTGTAAATTCGACTGGAATTAGTTGACCTTATTTTCTTTTCATATTGCAAGCTGTAAACCACTCCAGTTGTACATTTCATGCTTAAAGTGTGCATGCCAAAAGCAGAATTAGATCAGAAACTTACTTACCTGTCATGTCTGAAAATTGTTCTAGTTCTGGAGCAGCATTTGGCCCCCAGGCAACAGTGTGAATGATCGATCCACTATTTTTTACCTCCGAAAGGCAATTGCTCATACCTGAATCCTCTCCAACTGTCAGCAGTACAATTTCAGAACCATCGAGATTAGAGTATTTTTGTTTAATCACCTGAATTGAGAAGAAAATTTCAGGTATTAGCTATAGGACTTTATTGTAAATGTTAGCTGCTCTACAACAGGCAGTGTCTACATCAAGAGAAATTCTTAAAGTGCAAGTGTAAGGCAAAATCTTTTCCTTAAGTGTGAATTGTGCTGGTGTAGGAGGCTGTGTCATGTGGCAACTTCGCATCCAGTTAAAAAAAAAATCATTCTGAGTAATCATTATATACAGTGCGTACTGCTTCAGCAGTCTCATGAT